ATCACAGGTCTGCCTTGTAATTCGAAGGTCGCCGGTTCGAGCCTGCATAGGGGACCAGGTGACCCTCACAGTATCCTTAGCCCATGTGCGACTAGTGGTGGTTCCGAGGCAGCAAAACGCCGGTACCCCGTACCGTTGTTTTTTCACTTCTCTACCACCGTCTGTTTGCATTGTATTACAGCATAATAACTGAGGTGTTTCTCACCTCTGGCTGACGTATAAAATAAATGACGCTACTTCTTGAGTGCTGCCAGACAGGAACTTTGCGTTACCCTTTTTCCCACTTAAAATCGCTGTTCCTATCGTCTGACCACCCCTTCCTTTTTCTAATTCTCGTTGTCTTTGATATATTTCCTTCGTCTTTCCTTATTTCATCACTTGTTACTTTGTTACCTCGTTGGCTTGTGATATTTCTAGTGGATTTATTTCTTCTTATCATTTTGATCGTGATTGTCAAGCTGAATCGGTGCATGCCTATGATCCACCGCGATGAGACCGGAACTTAACGGGGTGCGATGGTTTGTGTTCCTCAGTGATCCATTGAGCTATGCTGGGTGGTGCTTTTTTGCACCTTCAGAGCCACTCATACCAAATTGGTTAATGGTTATGGGCCTGACAAATTCAGTCTCCTGGCCCTCCAGGTTGAGGCTTGGACTGAGGGTGGCTCCTTGCTCCATAAAACAGGCTCTCTGTAGTCCAGTGCCAAAACCGCGCTGCCTTGCTGTAAGGTTTTTGAACCAAAGGCTTTGGTTGATAATCCTAATTGTTCTCCTGTCTAGGCCTGGGCAACCTGACAGTATTCTGCTCACGCAATACAGTGAACCTATCTGACAATTTCTTGATGCTCTGGCCATCGCAGAGGATAATCAACGGCGCCCTATCTGCTGCATTGAGCAGGGTGGATAGGGGTTTGGATGCTACTGCTCAGACCTTCCCGTCTTCTTATCCCCCTTCTTGCGCTTTTTCATCCTTACCGTCCCTCTCCAAATTTACTTTTATTCCCCCATTTTCAATCCCCCAATTCTTGGCCCTTCCCACCTTGCTTCAATAGTCGCTTGTCTTCTACTTTCCAATCACGCACGGTCTCACGGGGTCGCTGCCATCCAGTCGGCAAGTCCATGTTCAACCAAGTGGACAACGTCGGTTCATCCGTTCCCCTTTGGAGTCCTCGCGTCCCACTAAGACTGGCATGCCTCAATGTGCGCACTTTGCTACAAATTGGCCAACAGGCAGCACTTGCCCGCACACTAGAGACCTTATCGATCGATATTTGCTGTTTATCAGAAAGCCGCCTGCAAGATTCGAGATCTGTACTAACACTTCGATCCTCCACATGCGACACTGGCGGCACATTCTCATTGCGCCTGTCTGGCGATGACGCAGCTACAAACGCCGGTCAAGTTGGCGTCGGCACTGTTTCGAGTCCCCGGGCTGAAGCTGCTCTGATCGATTGGATCCCAGTCAACAGTCGGATGTGCGCCGTTGGAATAGCTGCTTCGTCCCATGCCACGAAGTCACACGGGAACAAACGGTGCCTGTTTGTCATTGCGGCCTACGCCCCCACAAACTGTAGCACTGATTCGGGGAAAGATGATTTCTATCTGCAACTTCACGATCTCCTTCGTTACAGAAGAAGCATGGATACTGTGGTGTTGGCTGGCGATCTAAACGCCCAAGTCGGAAAATTGTCCTCTGATGAGCTTCATCTGGGCGGCCAACATGGTGTAGGCTGCCGTAATGATAACGGTGAGCGATTGCTACAGCTGTGTGAAGATGCTCGCCTCTTTCTCGCGAGCACTAACTTTCGACACAGCACCCGCAGAAGCGTGACTTGGCACCCACCAGCTTTGAGTCAGCCATGGACGCAAATCGATCATATCGCGATCAGTTACCGCTGGAGAGGCTGTGTTCAAAATTGTCGCTCGATTTGGAGCACGAGCGTGGACTCTGACCACGCACTTGTCTGTGCGGACCTCCTGGTGCGTTTCGGTGGACGTCCGCAACGTCGATGTGAACGGATTGATACCAGCCAGCTGGTGAAGCCAGATGTTCTGAATGTGTACCGAAGTGCGCTGACATCTGGGCTGAGTAAGCGCCCACTAAACACCGTTGAAGATCACTGGTCGCATATTCGTCAAACGTTACTGTTAGCAGGAATGTCTTCATGTGGCAAAGCAAATTGCCAAACCGGACATTGGGTCTCTACGCAGTCTCTGGAACTTATGGATGCTCGCCGACGTATTCCGGCTGGAAGCGAATACAATGAGGCTCGCAAAAATCTCAGGGCAAAACTACGTGCTAGCCTAAAGAAGGACCGCGAAACCTGGTGGTCTCATCATGCCTCGGAGATGGAAACAACCGCTACCGTTGGTAATCATCGTAAGTTATTCCGTCATACTTTAAACAGGCAACAGGAGACCTAGTCTTAGCCAAACGATACGCGACGAGAGTGCTCAGTTGATCCACATCTTGTCAAAACGCTTGGAGCGCTGGGCGGAACACTTTGGAAAGCAATTTGACCAACCTGACTTATCGCTTTCTTTTTCAGACATTGAGCGCCCTTCTACCTGGGCCGTCTCCTTAGATCCGCCCTCACGCGGAGATGTCGAACGTGAGATCAGGCTGTTGAAATTGCATAAGGCCGTAGGGTCAGATAGAATTCCCCCAGCCCTCTTCAAATTCGGAGGACCTGCTCTAGTAGATGATTTACACGAGTTGCTAATGAAACTTTGGGAGCAGGAGACTGTCCCGACAGGCTGGAGCCGCTCCGTCATTGTCCCAATTTTCAAGGGAGGCTCCCGTTCGGAATGCGGCAGTCATAGAGGGATCAGTCTGATCTCAATTGCCTCTAAATTGCTTGCCTCTGTCATTCTCCACAGACGGAGTGGCACTCGTGAAAGCTAGATTTGTGAAGAGCAAGCCGGGTTTCGTCGAGGTCGGGGCTGCATCGATCACATCTTCACCTTGCGTCAATTGTTGGAGCACCGTCATGTTTATTGGCGACCCACCGATGTCGTTTTTTGACATAAAAGTGCCTTTGACTCAGTCGATCGATGTGCCCTTTGGGACTGTCTGCTTAGGAAAAGTGTGCATGATAAATACGTAAACATTGTCAAAACGCTGTATGCACATAGTTCGGGCAGAGTTAGGGTTTATGGCAGACTATCGCCACCCTTCAGTACCACCAGCGGTGTGAGACAAGGTTGCCCGCTATCACCTTTCCTCTTTAACTTCGCTATTGATGAAGTCATGGAAACAGCATTCGCTGGACACGACGTAGAAGGTGTGCAGCTACTTCCTGGTGAGCGACTTCTTGACTTGGAGTATGCGGACGATATTGCCCTAATCTATGACAACCCCCAAACATGCCAAACAGCACTGGACCGATTAGCACTGGCTGTCAGTCGTTTTGGGCTATGCTTTGCTCCATCGAAATGCAAAGTACTTCTCCAAGGTTGGCAGGGACCCAACCCTGCGCTAACGGTTGGTGGTGATCTGCTAGAAGTCGTTCAGGAATTCAAGTACCTGGGCAGCTATATTAGCACCCGTGGGATTGAAGATGAGGTTACGAACCGTATAGCAAAAGCTCGAGATGCTTTTGCCAATCCCCACCATCTATGGCGCAGACGCAACGTTACTCTTACCCTGAAGGGCAGAGTTTATAAGGCAGCCGTCCGTTCAACCATCCTGTACGGTTGTGAAACCTGGCCCATCAGGTCGACGGGCATAAAGGCTAGCCACGTTCGATCATCGCTGCCTTCGCAGCTTAGCTCATGTCCGGTGGGAACGCCGCGTGAGCAATGAATGTGTTCGGCGTCGCATATTTGGTGCAGGATGAGCGAGTGAACTGTCCAGCAGCGTTATATCACGCACCAGACTCCGATGGCTGGGCCACGTGTTGCGCGTGCCAGCACACCGACTCCCGCGACGTGCATTGTTTGCGCGCCGCGGGTGCGGTTGGAAGAGGAGGAGAGGAGACCAAGCGATGACTTGGTCGAGAGAAATGAAAACCCTTACTTCGAAGTTGGCGTCGGTTGGTGCATCCTGACTGTCTGGCTGGGATCCTAAGGACGATGAACACGTTTGGTTGGACACACTTGCTGATATGGCTAGGAGCCGGCCCCAATGGCCTTTTGTTGTGAGTTCCTTTGTCCATCCCTCTCCTGCTTAGCCTCCCCTCCAATCACGATCTCATTCGCTAGGCATAATATAACTCTTTTTACGGCACGATAACCTACTCTTGGCTCTCCGGAACAATGTCCACCTGTTACTGGGGACTCAGCCGGCGTGCCACTGTTGTATTTTTTCTTCTTGTATTTTATATTGCGGCACAATAGCTGAGGTGTTTTCCACCTGCAGCTAACGTGTATACTGATGATGATGACTTGCCTATGATGGTCGTCTATGTCGGCTAGGCTCGTCCGTTGCTTATCACGGACTGGTCTCTTTCGAGCATTTTTCATAGGTGCTTAAGGTCAATACGATGTGAATAACTTCATGTAATGTGCACGCATTACTGACTCATGAGTACCGGTCAAAAGCAAGCAGAGATCTGCTTCTTGCATTCGCGTGCAACTAAATTCTCTTGTTTTCCTGTAAACTGCAGTAAAAATCCGTCCACTTTTCCATTAATATCTTTTAAAATATGACAAACATTTTTGCTGCTATCCTGTTGCTAGCTCTTAGGTTCACTAGCCACTTTTCATCGATCTAATTTCCCTTAAGGATACTCTTCGTGGTTGTGCACCAGTTTCCTTTTTCCACTGGGACCGTACCTTTCTCTTTGCTTCATAGCCACTTTGTGGCATGTCTAAATCCTTTAGTACACAGCTACGATGCGAAAGCTTAGAGTCAGCATGACTACTGTGTATCCAACGCCTACGGGGTGTTCATTGACTTTATCCATGCTCTGTAAGAATCCAGCGTATTGCCGTTTCTCACGTTAAAACCACAACTGTTTGATCATGGATTTATTGATCAGTGTTTCCTAAATCTTTACAGCTCTGCCTCGTGCCTTTTGATCAGTACAACACGTATACGAATCTCTGAATAATTTTGTTATTTCTCGAGAAGCTTTCAATCCCTGGTCTACAAGAATATTGGTCTCAGTTTGAACATGAGAGGTATGTTGTCGTTTTCCTATTTTCTGCTCGTAGTTTACAACGCGACGACCTATTAATCTATTAATAGAACTGACCGTATATATATATATATATATATATATATATATATATAGTGGGGCTTATTAAGAGGGGTTTGTGGTGTATGTATTGAGTAATCTATGCGTCCAACGGGTACATGCAAGAAACTCGTGTTTTTCCATGATACACTCGCAGCATAGGCACTACGTCGAATACGCGGAAATCCTGACGCGCACTGCATCGTTGCCTCACTTACTTCATTTGTAAGGGTTCAGCGCCAGCCAGCAAGCTCGTGGCCATTTCACGCCAAAGAGTCATGCGAGTTTCGCCTTGCCTGTATGGTCATCCAACCACACAGTTATGTAGTGCACAAGCATCTACCCGATCGACCAGCTTTCCGCTCACACCCTTCATAAGCGTTTGGAGGATTAACTAGTGATGGTGAGATATAACGTTTGTGATTTATCTACTTATTTTGCCCCTCCCTGCCACAATCAAGGGGACGTCCACACAACATATGTGTGGCATCAACTGAACTTAGACAACACGTGTGCATCAATCTGATCGATTATTTCTTCTTCAGGAAAAGGTCTAAAAGCAAGTTGGTGTGTTAAGGTGCTAATTTTAAGGTTGCTAGTGATGAATCGCTCTCGATCTCTGCAGTGCGAACCAAAGTATTTGTTTTATAAATGTTTGGATTTGTTTTCGGACATGGCCAAAAATTGCAGTCGGTGACTACTGTGTTGCAAGACTGTCACCCTCTAAGTACCTTTTTATCTTATCGCGTACATCCTCATGTTGTATCATTCTGTCGATTGTATCATGTACCGATTGTGTGCACAAACCGAGTGAACTTCTCTTGTCCGGAAAGTTACTTGATGTTATGCATTCTCCACCTCCGTAATATTGTAGACTGGGTTGCCCAGAGGCCATAAATTCGAGTCAGGAAGTTCACATCCATGTTCATATGCCGAGCGATAGTTTGAATGTAGTTTTCGACTACAACCATGCTGACGGTACAGTGATCTCATCATCGGGGAGCTTTTTTATTTTTAGCATATGAACTTATTATAGATGGTCATGTGACGCCTTTATTTCGCAGTAGTCAGTTTGCAAATGTGATTATCGTTGCAGAACAGGGAAAGCGGAGTCAAATTGGCTGATAATTATCCACATAAAGATATGGAGGGTCGTACATCATGGATTGCACAAGTATTTACGAATTTGGTGGTTGTATATTGGCGTTCTCTGTACTGCACAGTAGCAAGCATGCCCCGACGAAGCCTAGTTTTAACCGTTTAAGAAGGAAGGCAACACTGTAGCCTACTTAATTTCCGTGTCGACCTGCGCTTTAAGTGCGGTGTTGTTGAGAAACAAGTCGGTTACGGCAAGAGAGCAACAATCGAGTGCACTTGCAACTAATGGATGTCAAGTCCGCAGTTCTGAATCAGTATTTTTGCTAACGACATACATGAGAGGGTTCTCACTTTCCACAGGCCACACAGTGGTCATCAAACGCAGGGCATTGAAACCGGTTATTTCTCTACTCAACCCACAGATCTACATTTTTTGTCACATACAGCAACCGTGCTTTTTAGCCTTATACCGACAAATTGCTCATCGTTTTTGAAGGTTATGGTTAGCATGTGATGGGAACACAAGTATGTTCTGATTGGTATGATTGCGACTCGTGAGCTGATCCGGGGAGTCGATTTTGTTCATATTCAGCGCTTACAAACAAGTGCCATTTTCAAGTACTTTGCTACTTCACTGTCTTCCACCTACAAAAACTTGTATACTGATCAAGAAACTAAAGGAGCGCTCGAGCATATGAAAGGCATTGGCCCGAATCCGAGACGTATAGACTCTAAGCGAAATTCCCGATATACTGCATCACGATGCCAGATACACCATCGATATATTACCGGACGAACTAGTGCTCTGAGCTTTACTTTTCCTTATCGACATCGGCTGAAGTTGGTAGACCTCAAGATTGTTAGCCGATTTGAACTAGCTGCTCAGATTTCGATTGCATCTTGGCGTCTACTTCCTCAGCCTCAGTGAAGCCCCCAATGTTAATTACTATTCGTCGTTTTAAAACACACTGTGCGATTCATCAATAGTACAGCTGATTAACAGCCTATCTGAACAAACTACAATGCTCGTTAAGCTTATGAGCTGCTAATTGATTTCTGCAACATCTGTTATTTTAAATGAAGCTCTTAAGGGGATCCCGTTAAGGACTTAGTCTTACATTGTCCGAAACACTGGAACGGCGTCAGACCAGGCCTTGTGATTGACAGGATGTTTGGTTAGGAGTTAAGCCCAATATGAGGAAAGATATCTATCTTGATTTGGAGATACACTAGCTCTGAGTGACAGAGTTGATCTTTCCACAGACACTTCAGTTTGATCGTGGAACAAAGCATTGTGTAGATAGGTTTAGCAGACCTACTTTGTTATCATTTCATCATTCAGCATGCTGCGCGTTAGCTAGGCGTGAGAATATACCCTAGCTATTGTACCGCAGTACAGTTCAATCGGGTGGCAGTAAAATAGCAGTGGTTGGAAACATTGGATCTCATGGCCCGCAACAGAAGATACCAATGGCGTTAATGTACTGCCATCTTATCCCCCCTTTACTGCACACAAAAAACTCACGGAACGAAAAATACTCAAAATGGCGTGTATAAAAACAAAAAAGCAGCAGAAACAAAAATATTATTTTCTAATCATGCCTGATAAGGTTTACCTCGATGCATTCGAGAATAAACTATTCATCTATTTATTTATAACAAAGCGATCGTGATTGGAGACTGAGCAAGAGCACGTGCGATAAAGAAACTCACAACACCGATGCCGTTGAGGTCGACTCCTGACCATATCAATTAGTGCACCCAATTAAACGTGTCCATTCTCTTTCCGACCACAACCAACGGAGTTGAGAGACTCCAACTAAAATCAACTTCGAAGTGAAGGACTTTATTCCGTTTGACTGCCATCGATTGTTGTCCCTTCCTCTTCGATCCACACCCTGGTCGCGCAAACAACGCACATCTCAAAAGTGGTCCAGCCATCGGAGTCTGGTGCGTGAAATGATGGTGTTTACTGGTTCACTTCGTCTTGCTGCACAAAATACAAGTTTATGAACGCGCTCATTGCACACATGGTGTTCCCACCAGACATGAGCTAAGCTGCGAAGACATCGGTAATCATCATCATCAATACACGTTATCTGAGGGCGAGAGACAACTCAGGTAATGCACAGCAATGCAAACTTACGCTACAAAAAATTCAAAATGCAAGTAATATAATGTTAGAAATTATATTATGCATTTTGCATGTAATCGTAATTTGAGAATGAATCTAATGGGGTGGGTGGACAAAGGAACACAACACAAACACCATTGAGGTTGGCTCTTCGCCCTATCAGTAAGTGGGTCCAACCAAACGTGTTCATCGTCCTTAGGACCCAAGCCAGACAGTCGGGATGCACCAACCGACGTCAACTTCGAAGTAGTCGTGCTGGCATGCACAACACGTGGCCCAGCCATCGGAGTCTGGTGCGTGATATAACGCTGCTGGACAGTTCACTCGCTCATCCTGCACCAAATATGCGACGCCGAACACATTCATTGCTCACGCGGCGTTCCCACCGGACATGAGCTAAGCTGCGAAGGCAGCGATGATCGAACGTGGCTAGCCTTTATGCCCGTCGACCTGATGGGCCAGGTTTCACAACCGTACAGGATGGTTGAACGGACGGCTGCCTTATAAACTCTGCCCTTCAGGGTAAGAGTAACGTTGCGTCTGCGCCATAGATGGTGGAGATTGGCAAAAGCACCTCAAGCTTTTGCTATACGGTTCGTAACCTCATCTTCGATCTCACGGGTGCTAATATAGCTGCCCAGGTACCTTAATTCCTGAACGACTTCTGGCTGATCACTGCCAACCGTTAGCGCAGGGTTGGGTCCCTGCCAACCTTGGAGAAGTACTTTGCATTTCGATGGAGCAAAGCATAGCCCGAAACGCCTGACATCCAGTGCTAATCGGTCCAGCACTGCATGGCACGTTTGCGAGCTCTAACAGATAAGGGCAATGCTATCCGCATTGTTACATGAAGATAGCTCTCATTCGGCGTTCAGGCCGAGAGCGCTGGCGCAGCAGGGGATCGAACTCGAGTGGAGTTCAAGATGCGAATCTATGTGGAATCAACGGCAAGTTGGACCATGAACTTGAACCATTTGATTTTTGGTTATTAGTATTAATTAGCATCTCCAATTTTGTTGTGTTAGTGGTTTCCTACAACCTATTTATTGTGCCATGATCTCATGCACTAGAATCCCTCGATCCGGCTGTTTTCTTGGCGTTCACATTTCGTTGCGGTTTAACTGGTTGGGGGTGGCACAACTGATTCAGACAGGTTATCCGTACACTCAGCTAGAAACCACAACACACGTACTCTGAGTCAAGAGGTCCCTCACCAGGAAGTAGCTTCATAACTTATAGGTCGTGTCCAATGACTAACGGGCATAACACGCCTCTTCACATCTGTCAATTTGGCGATCCAGGTATCGCAGTCGTACGACAGGTCTGAATAGATGGCTGCATTGTAGAGTCTACTCTTCGAGGCGAAAATCATATCGCGCCTGTGCCACAAGTACCTCAAACCTTTTCTGTATGGTTCCTGATTTCATCTTCAGTCCCTACTTTCTAAGCTCTGCTGCCAGGCCAGCTTGCTTCGTTGTTTTACTTTATGCAACACGTCGCTTTTGTGTTATTTGTTAATGACTTCTGTCTCGTTTTTGATTCTGAATGTAGCTATCGTGAAGTAGTGTTCTATCGACATTTTTCGGTGTCACTTTCATATAGTCAAATATAATCCACAGGTTGAGCCTTTAGTCTTTCTGGTTGTTTACCGTAGAAATGTCGAAGCAATCGCCCTGTGGTTCTTGCTGCAAAATTGTTGGACATTAAGCGAA